GAAGCTTTTGGTTTTGCTCAAAACAGCACAAGCAACATAGAGTGGTGAAGGGGCAGGACATATTGCAAAAATGGGCTGTTAGAAACCTTCCCTCAGCAAGGCTTTTCACACTGTTGTTGGTTGATGTTGTTGGTTGATGTTGTACATCACTGTTGTTGATGTACACTGCCCCCCTCCCAGTTATGTTCCTTTCTATTCCTCCAAACAGGATTAGTGCTTGGAGACCTGTACTTGCTAACCCAGAGAATCAAACTAGCAGATCTATGCTAGCGAACCCAGAGCATCAGGCTAATGCTAGGTTATGATATCAAGTAAATTGTTTTCCTAGTTGTTTCTTTCTCAGGCCACAAGCTTCATAATGATTAAAGTACTCAGCAGTTATGAAAGCCCCAATTTGACAGACATAACCCGTTCGCGGGGAGGGCGGGGTATAAATTCAATAAAATAAATAACTTGAGTGGCACCTTCTAATCAGAACCAAGTGCCTCTCTGCATTCTTTCTCAAAATTAATGCTGGCTAGACATTTGTTAGGGTAAAAAGCTCACTAACACAATAGCATTTGGTAACTTCTAGTGACATACTTATTTAATTCAGAGGGGATTTTGCTCAAAATTTATGCCCTATTGTAACCCACTAAGGTCCTAATATCTGTAGGGAGAGTGGGCAGGTTCAGTCGGTTTTGACAGCGGAACTCCCACCTATGGTTATTAAGAATATATAACTACTGTTACTACACATGTACTTAAACACAGACATAAAAGAGGCAATACAACCAATGCACTTTAACATTTAAAATAAACTCTTTATATAAACAAAGCATGGAGGTTTTCATATAAATCCTCATTCACTTCTGGTTGGTTGCTATTACTTCATAGCAATGAATCTTCAGGATATTACTGAGTACAGATATCTTCAGCATCCACAAAGATGCACAGAACAGAAAAAATACTAAGCACATAAATAATACATATATTGTAGGTCCTTATGTTGTAAGCTCACAGATACTGGAACAGCATATGAGGTTTCCAGGCTGTACTTGGGAGGCTGCAGCTCTTCTCAGTTGACTCCAGGATTTACCTGCAATAATTCAAGGCAGGCCTTAACTAGAGATGTAAAATTTCCGGAAATTTTGAAGCTCGGAAAAAAACCCGTTTTTTTTCCGGGTTTTTTCGGAAAAAACGGACATTTTCGGAAAAATTGAAAAAAATGCTACATTAGCATTTCTTTTGTCTTTTCTAGATTGAAAGTCATTCTGTTACTTTAGGAACATAAAATATGACTATGGACATTTTTATTTGGCATGAAATTATCACAACTAGCATATTAAAAATATAGTGTATCCAAACAATTATTACAAACAGAATACCCACCCACATGCAAAAACAAAACTGAAACCTTTTTATTTTCTTCTGACAATAGCACCTCCTAAAGGAAGAAATGCATCTTGCATTGGAGAGTTCAGTTTGTAACCTAGGACTGGCTTGTCCTCAGTGCACAGAAATTAGATCAATCTGATACCATATATA